CCCGCAGAAAAGGCACGTTTATGTGCTTCCCCTTCTCCAGCCGCCCCGCAGTGGGGGGGGGGGCACGGGGGGGACGGACACACTCAAGGAGGGGAGGAAGAGAGAGAAGGCAGCTTTAAGTGCTAAATTCCCCAGCACACTCAGGAGAAGGCTCTCACAACCACTTCGGGTAACACCAGAATTACACTTTGTTGGTCTCAAAGGTGCCAATGGAGGCAAACGTTGTTCCGTAGCGGGATGCCGTAGGCCACTTTGGGTCCCCCCAGGGGAGAAGAGTGGGGTACAAACGAGGCAGATGGAGCGAAGGGCACCCTGCCTGGTGCCTCGGACAACAGGGCTGAGGAAGAACTCTGAGATCCTGGAACTCCACCGTCGTTGAACACGACTGTGCTGAGTTAGAAGGAGCAATGGTTGACTCGGCACAAGGCCGCTTCACATGCCCTTCTGTTCACGGCCTACGCAGCTCAAGGGACATACCTCAGCCAGCCACTGGATTAAATCTTATTTGCTACCAAAACTGAAATCAAAAGGAGTGAGAATCAGGAGTCAGAAAAGTCACGGAGGAGGCACTCAGAGTGGACACAGCGCCCAATGAGCGGAAGGGCGTTCCTCGGGGGAGGAAGGCCTTCATCACACACTATTCTGCCCACCAGTCAGAGCAATAAATAGCCTTGCCTTGTTCACAGACGTCTGTTTCCAAAGATGCAGGGCTCCATGAAAAGCATGAGCGAGAACCATTGTGCCATCTGGGCTGAAGCAACAGTCAAAAAAACCCAGCGTATTTCCCCCCACTTCTCCAACTCGGACCTGATGGAAAAGTCAGACGCAGAATACGTTAAGTCAGCCACGGGCCTTCTTGCACCTACTTAATAGCTACAGGCATAAACTCTGTGCAAAATAACTAAACCCTAGCTATGATTTAGCACTGTATCCAGACAAATGTGTTCCTAAAGAGACTCCAGTATCTCTGCTTTGCAGAGCTGAAACCATGAAAACACAGCAATTAAAAACAGATAACGGCAGCCATTAAAACATACATGCATTGGAGACAAACTCTGACTGAGACCACCTTGCGGTGCTTTTTTTTGAGGTTCTGGCGGACACCAGAAGGCCTCAAAAGAAGAAACTGCTTGCAGTGCAAAGGGAGAGTGTTCCCAACAGCATAACACCCATTCTTCACAAACAGAGAACTTCAGTCATGCAACTGTCTCCCCCCCGGAGTTTTGCACTAAACGTGAACAGAGCTCATCCAAACCCAGTATGGGCTTGCAAACTTGATTACGATCTTTGGATTATGGAGAAGTCATGGTTTTGCAAAACCACGGCTAATGCAGGAAGAAAGAACTGCTCCAGAGCAGGGGTCATTTCGTAGAAAAAGAGGTGCAGGAGCTCATTAGCATAACTCATTTGCCGGAAGTGTGTCAGAAGGCAACACCCACCACTCAGGCTCCACTGGACTGTTTTGGATTGCAGACCTGTCCTGGCAGAGGAGGGAGAGCTTGTACCTGAATAAACCTTGGTCTTAAAGGTGCCACTGGACTCTGTTTTGGACCGGGGGGCTGGGGGGGCCCTCTGCAACTTAGCTGGCTGCTTCTTGCTCTGACTGAGGGCTGCTGGGAGCAGGGGGTGGGGCTTGTTGCATCTGCCCGCCCCCTGGGCTCTTTACTGCCGGAGCTCCGCTCCCGTGCGCTCCTGCAGGAAATGACCCCTGCTCCAGAGGGTGGGAGGGGGGGGGGATGTGCCTGCACTCATAAAGTTAGCTCCTGATTTTCAAACCATGCTATGCAGACCACCAGGATTATATCTGTTCCAGGCTCTAGGCAGGGCAACAGCCACTAGTTTAGCTGATTTTTTTAAAGGAACTGAAAGAAAATCAACAACTATTAGGTGTAACGGTTACATACAACCTCTATGCAGAGAAGCAAATCACTTCTGAATTCCCTCTCTGCTAGCTCAGGGGTCCCCGACCTTTCTGAGCCTGTGGGCACCTTGGGAGTTCTGACAAAGGGTGCTGGCCACTGTGGGAGGCGCAGACATGCACACAGGAAACCCAAACGCAGGAGACAAGAAAAGTGACTTTTTAAAAATGCAAGGGAAAAGAAGGGAGAGAGAATGAAACAAACACGATGGGGCCGCTTGTGCTGAGACAGCACTGTTCTAATCTGCCCAGCCAATCAGATCCCCTGCTGAGCAGGAGGCCGGCCTGGCCACGCCCACCTCCTGGAAACACCCGGCAAGGGCTGGGAAAGTTGTGGCCGGGGACCCCCGCGGCAGCTCCTTCAAAAGTCAGGGAAGCCCAAGAGGCATTGTGAAGTGAACAGCAACATCCCAGCCCTTCCACTCAAAGAAAAGGAAGCACAACAGACAAGGCGAAGTTTCTTCTTCTAAGGTTCAGTTTCAGTCTAGAGGTGGACACGAGGGTGTGTTCAGGGGAAATGGCTCCTTCTTCGCCGCACAGCTTCCTTGGAAGGCAGTCCCGGCTCTTCGCTTCCGAAGGGCTCTTTCTGTGCCACCCACCCTAACCCGCGGCAGGAGGCTCCTCTTTGTACGGATGCGGTCTTCTGTGAAGACTTTCCCGCTTCGTTCTTTGGGGCTTGGATTCGACGTCAGGCTCCCCCTCCTGAGCACTTAACTTCCTAAAACATCTCAGACAAACAAATGGGGGCAGGGAGAGAATGTAGAAAACCGCATCTACCTGTTCTAACCACACCCCAGATTCTTCATCTGGAGCCCACAGGATGACGGTTTTGTCCATCGAAGCAGAAAGCAATCTCATTGGCTGTTCTCTCCTGTCATCTACAGCACAAGGGGGAGGGGGAAATTACCTCACTAGAAAGGGTTAGAGCCTCTTTTATTACATACCAACAGCCAATGTTCCCTCTAAGCTATGGAGTCCTGTGAGCAAAAATTCTACTTTGTGAGCCGCTGGCATTAAAGTTGTGAGCGAGTGATTTGGCTGCTGCATAAATTAGCTTGCTCTGGAGCCTTCCTTCCTGAGCTAAGACAAAAACGTGTGAGCTGGAGGCTAAAAAACTGTAAGCTAGCTCACACTAACACAGCTTAGAGGGAACACTGCCAATAGCGTGACAAAAGCAGGAGATTCTAAGAGACATCTGGAAGACAGTACTACATGGAGGAAGGGAGAAATGTCCTAGCTGCAATGTAAAGCACCTTCGGGAAGATTAAAAGGGGGGTGGGGGGAAATCTGTAAATTGAACATTTGGGACTACCTCTGTATCTGACAAAGTAAGTGTTGACTCACAAAAACTTACACTTCAGTGGTTTGTGTTGGTCTTTAAGGTGCTACTGGACTCAATTTTGGTTTCTGACTAATGAATCACCAGTTCGGGACTTACTTAGAATGCACTGCACATGCAGTAGCGTCACATCCTGGCGACAGCGGTGCAACGTGTATCGCTGTCCCCCGCGGCAGGGATCCTGTGAAGACACACGGATCCCCTGCCGCGGCTTGGCAGCCCTAGCCTAGCCATAACCCTCTCCTGGATGGGAGAAAGAAACTGAAGCACTGGAGCCACACCTCCCTGCTCGGAGGTCAGTAGGGCATCTGACTTGGCTGGTAATTCCTCCTGTTCAGATCTGGAGGCAGGGAGACTCTCTGACACACCCCTCTTTGCAAGACCCAGGCCAGCGTGACTCTGCACAAACGTTTGGGCTACCAGTCTCACCGTGAGGATTTGACAGATTCAGGGAAGGGGACGTCGTATGCCCACGGAACTCACAGCACAGAGCCCCCATGAGATACGGCGCTCTCTCCGCTGAGGAAGGAAGAGAACTGGCTGAATCCCCACACGGAAGCAGGAGGATCCGAGGATCCTCCTGCTTCCTGGTTCCAAAGGGATCTCTCACCAGTCGATCAGCCTCCTCCTCCAAAGGAAGAAGAAAACCCAGAAGTAGGCCCCAAAAGGTGGGCCACAGATCTAAACCAAAGCTGCAGGAAAGCTGAACCTGCCCGTAAAGGTCAGGCAACTTCTCCAACATTCTCCGGCGGCACATCCACACAGAACAGAAAGCCCTGAAGACACAACTGCGCTGCCACATCATGCAGGGTTGTCACTGAAGGCGAGTTCACCTGCTCCCAGCACACAGCAGCACCCTGCTGACGATCCCGTTCTGTGCAGAAGGGTGGAGTGACATGCAACGGAGAACACGGGACTGGCCACTCCCCCCCCCCGTACTCTGTAGTAATGGAAGTGTGTGAGATGACCCCACGTCACACACACCCCCCACGGGGTTGGCGTCTTTGGCAACAGCGCCATGTTCTTTGCCATGCACAGTCCAGCACTAAGCTGTAGCTCACACATTTCTTCTTACCTGTGACAAACGAAGGCTGCCAATGAACTGCATAGACCCAGTTTTCATGTCCAGCTAACACAGAATCCAACGTCACAGCAAAGGAGGTGTCCATACCTGACCACAAAGCAAAACCATAATCTTCACAGCTATTCTGACAGCCAACGTCACAGGCGAAGGCTCACCAGATGCAAAATGGGCAGCACAGTAATAAAACCCAGGATGATGGCATCCTGTCAGAGAGGTCGCAATGAGATGCTCATGCAAGCACAGCCTGGATCTAAGATCCCACAGGACAGTTGAAAGCTCAAAACAAAAATAATCAAAGCTAATTTAAAGCTTCGGCTTTTGATCTTTAAGATCGAAATTCTTTTTTAAAAAATTAAATACACAGTAATCTACATTTAAAACCAAATGCATTTTAGTGCAATCTAGAGGTGTGAAGACCGGGGGGGGGGATGTAAGCACGCCAGACAAATCCTCCCGAGGGCCCCTTCCATCACTGGTTGTGGGAGAGGAAGGAAGGAAGGAAGCACAATTTCAACCCCTGCCCCCTCCTCAATACAACTCATGTGGCTCCCATCAACCCCAGGATCTGCCTTCCCCGGGATCAGAAAGGACGGCTGCACTTTCCACTAGCCGATGGTGGGCTCCAACCACACACAGGCAGAGCGATAACCTGGCGATGCAACCTTTAGGTAACAAGGAGGAAGGACAGGAGAATAAGCTAGTTCTCTGTCAGAAGTAGAGATGTGAAGGCCCGGAAAAAAACGGGAAAAATTCAGGGGAAAAATGGGTTTTTTCCATTTTTTTCCTGAAGTCTTTTTGTTTTTTCCTGAAGTCTTTTTGATTATGGAACGTTTTATTTTAACAGACCTTCTACTTTAAAGCAATGACAAAGGAGCTATGGAGGGGAAGCAGATGAACTATATGAAACAGAAGGCTAGCACACAAGGAAACAGCAGAACAATACTGACAACCAACTCTTGAGTCAAAATATAGCTAAACAAATGGACCCAGGCACAATTGCAGACGTTTTTAGACAGAGGGAAACGGAAAGAGAGCCTCTTAAATATATATATATATACGTGTGATTGTCTGCAATCAGCTAACACAAAACTAAGTGCTTTTGCACCAAGGGACCACATCCATTTCATAGAAAAGGGCCGAACCCACACAGACCCATTCCCCTCTGGGGGCCGGGGGGAACGGGCAACCCTAGCTACTAGCCTAGCCTACCTCGCAGGGCGGTTGCAAGGAGCTGGGTGCTCTTGAGTCAGCCTACCCACCCTCCTCTCTCTGCCTAGCTTACCTGGCGGGGCTGTTGTTGCGTGCCTGGGCTCCCTCCCATTCCCGTTCCCCTCCCACACTTCGCAGGGCCTTGGCGGCTTGGGTGGCCCCGGCACAGGCCTCGCGCTTGGCCTCGCGGAAGGGGTCGAGGAGTGTGGTGTGGAGGATGCACACAGCCTTGGGCAGGCAGGGGGCCAGGGCGGCAGTGGGGCAGAGGTGCAGGAGGCCGAGGTGGAGCTCCTTGCAGGCCTCGCGGGAGGCGCCGGTGCCCACCTCGCAGATGCGCTGCGCCAGGGCCGGCATAAGGACGGGCAGTGCCTGGGCGGGCTGGGTGCCATGGCCCAGGAAATGGCAGAGCAGCCTGAGAGCCAGCTCGTGGCAGCGCTCCAACGGGCCGGCCAGCAGGCAGTGCAGCAGTGGGCACAGCAGCTGCCGAGCAAAGACCTCCTTTACAGCGAGGCTGGCGAGCGTGGGAAAGTGTGTGGCCGCTCATTGCCATAGAGATGGGATTGGGAACACTGCCAGAATGCTGTTCCGGCCCAAAATGACCCCTGGTTGTAGAGCAGAGGAATATTTCATTAGTGGATTCTTCATCACAAAAGATGACCCGAGACACAAGAATGACCCTACTGAGGACACTTCTACACAATCTACACAACTACACACAAAGTACAGACTCGCCTCCATTATCTTTCATAGTGAAAATGTTCTCCTTCAGCCCAATAGCATTATCTTCTCCAGTTTCCAGAAGTGGTGGCGAAGTTGCATGAATCTTCCAGATTCTTATCAGGCAATCCTGAGCACAGCTTGCCAAGAAGAGATCGCCATCTTTAAAATGAAAAAAGAGCAAAAAAGGAGAGGCAGTTCCCACTTCTTAAGAGATATGGAGCTGAAGCTAATTGGAATATTTTGATTGGGACCTCGCTTATACAGGTGTATTCATTGTATGTTACTGAAGACTTACCTGATTTACCTGACGAAGGCAGAGGTCTGAAACACTGATTATCCAGAACGGCATAGTTTCTACTTGGAACGAATCTTATTTACTACACGCCACAATATATAGATGTTTGGACGTCAATTCAAGGACATTTGATATTTATATATACAAATATTTTCTTTGTGTGCTTGTTCTATTTATGAAGGAAGTCTGCTGCTTTTGAGATACGCCGTGACTTATTGTGGGTTTGTTACCACCCACTTTGGGATAATTGCTCTTTATTATGTTTTTGATTCTACAAATAAATATTATATAGGAGTTTGGCATTATCATTGACTTTGTTTTCTATATGATTATTGTTGCATTTATTTAGCATGTTTTGACCACAGTTTTGTTTGTGATTTCATTGGGGTTTTTTCCCCCTGTAGCCTCCCTCCTTCTTACTAGCAGAAATAACTCAGACAAGGTACAATCCAGCTCTCGCCGAGCTCTCGCCAAGACTGCTTAAGCGTGGAGACTATTCTCCTGGTAACTTTCATTGCTGCTGAGAATGCAGAGGCATTTTCCAAGGCAGGGGAATGTCCACAAGGATGTTTCCCCCACATTTTCTTTGCCTCGGCTCTCTGTGGTTGTCTTCCCTTCCCCTGTCACCAGAGGGCATTGCAGGCTTTAAAAACCAAAAATGGCACTGCTATAGCAATACAGCTATTGTAACCATCTAGTGCAGTGATGGCAAACCTTTTAGGGACCGAGTGCCCAAACTGCGAGCCCAAACCCACTTATTTATCACAAAGTGCCAACACGGCAATTTAACCTGAATACTGAGGTTTTACTTTAGAAAAAACAACCCATACATTAACTTAAGATGACCCAAATGAAGGAAGGAAAGCAATCCCAAATGCTTTCATTTACTTACAATTATTTGGCAGAGAATTTATTTATTTATTTATTTATTTGATTTTTATCCCGCCCTCCCGTCGAAGCGGCTCAGGGCGGCGTACAACAACATACAATAAAACAACTCATCTAAAACAATCAATACAAACATTAAAATCATACTTTACACTTTAATGATGGTCTGGGCCTGGCTGGGGCGATGGCACGCGTGCCCACTGAGAGGGCTCTGAGTGCCACCTCTGGCACCCATGCCAGAGGTTCGCCACCACTGATCTAGTGCAACAATGTACTAGTTGCCAACTTTCATATTTAACAAAGTAAGTATCTAGATAGGGATGGGCATGCACCGAGAAATGAACCGTGGTTCACGTATGAACCGGGCTGGTCCGTGGTTCATTTAGAACTGGTTTGTTTGTTGGCGTCATCCCCAAACCAAAAACAAACTGCCTTTTTTCTGTGGAGGTTTGTCTGGTTCATTAGAGCGATTTATTCTTCAGACAGCTATGCGGGGAGGCCCCTGGCAACAGCCACTGCAGTGAGGAGGCCGAGGAGAGTTTCCAGCCTCCAGGTGAGCCCTGAAGATCTCCCAGAATTAGAACTGATCTCCAGACTACAGACATCTGTTCCCCTGGAGAAAACTCTACGATACACCACAGATTCTAGATGAACTCTCCCCCTCCACAGGCACAATCCCAAAACCTCCAGGAATTTCCCAGGCCATAGTTGGCAACTCTACCACCAACGCTGAGCAGAACAGCCATGTCAAAACAATTCAATACTGGCTGTTTACAAAAAATGAGGACAGCTCTAGATATCTTTTTTAGGGCAAGTCGCAGTGAAGGCTGGTGCTTTCGTTTTGGTCTCTGCTAGCCTTCACAAGATGGGGAATGGAGGAAGCCCGTAACTTTGCTTAGCAGAGAAAGAGGTTAATGAGGGCATTACATCGGGAAGGCATTACATTACATGGGAAAGACTGAAGGTCAAAGAAGAAGAAGGGGATGGCAAAGGATGAGATGGTTAGGCAGTGTGATCGAGGCAACGTGAATGGCCCAAGCCAGCCAGACCTCAGAAGTTAAACAGGGTTGGCCCCGCTGAGTCCGAGGGGATGGGAGACCATCCGGGACGTCCAGGGCTCCTACGCGGAGGCAGGCTATGGCAACCCACCTCTGCTCAACCCTTGCCTGGGAAACCCCACAAGGGGTCGCCATGAGTCGGCTGCGACCGGGTGGCACTTTGCACCGCAACCACCTGACACCATTCCCTCCAGTACCATTTTCAGCAGTGCCACCCTCAAAGCAGGGAGCCAGGCATTCATGCAAGTGAAATGAGAGCAGGAAGCAGCCAACGGCAAACACTGAGACTACACTGGTTTCATCACCAAATTCTTCCACAGGGCTGCTTTCTGCAGACCGTCCACTGGGCATAAAATCCTGCTCCAGCTGGTATACAAGCAGGTTCAGACTTGTCTCAGATGCCTGGCTTGCTCTGTTGATCTGGCTTCTTTGGCAATATCAGAATACTAAAAATGCTTTTGTCTGATTTCATACTCACCACAAACTGCCCACTCGACCCCTCTTATCCAGTCTTCATGCCCCCGGAGTACCAACTGTTTCTGAAACTGAAATAAACAAACATCTTTGCTACGTAACATGCTCATCTGAAAGTCAATATTCTACAGTATGAGGAAGTTGACTGTAGAGAAGAAAGATAAACTGAGAAACCCTCTACTGCTCATGGTCAACTCGGGATCCATGGATAAGAATTGATACCAAGGATACCTTTGGAAGAACACAAGTCCAAGTATTATTACCGGCACATATGGCCCTCGGTCTCAGGTCCCAAAGGTCCACCGCTGCTCGCCATTGCTGCCGGGAGAGATGGACTCGCGACAGGCGTTAAGTGCTGCGGATGGAGGTCTCAGAATGGCAAAAAAGGGCCACTTAGAACCGGGTTTGATTCCCCACTCTTCCTCCACATGCAGCTGCTGGTGTGACCTTGGGTCAGTCATAAGTTCTTTCAGAGCTGTTCTCTCAGAGCTGTTCTCTCAAGAACAGTTCTGGAAAGAACTCTCTCAGCCCCATCTACCTCCCAAGCTGTCTGTTGTGGGGAGGGGAGGGGAAGGGGATTGTAAGATGCTCTGAGACTCCTTTGGGTAGTGAAGGGCAGGGTAGAAATCCAATCTCCTCCTCCTCCTCTTCTTCTACCTGTCCCCCCTCTTGTCCACTGCACCTTGCCAGCTATGCTGCCATGAGGATTGGGGGTGGGGTATTCGCTTGCCTGTGTAGCACGTACGCTGCATTCCCTCTTGGCTTCTGTAATGCTTGCTTACCTATGGCCTTGCAGGTGCTGTGTAGTGTCTGGGATTCAGGAGAACCGCGGGAGCGCTTTCGGTTCCCAGCTTCGGCTCTAACGGCCTGGGGCTCCTTCTCCCGCGCGTGGGAGTGTGACCAGTTGGCCTAAGGAAGGGGGGGAGCTGCATACGAATACCCTATATCCCATTATGCTTGTAGGGGCGACGCCATTCTTAACAGTGCCTTTGTTAATGCATCTATAGCTCTGCGATAAAGTATAACCTTCCTGATAAGCGTGTACTCCGTTGTTGGCTGTGGAACCTGACACATCCATCTCTCTCTCTCTCTCTCTCTCTCTCTCTCTACTGCCTTGCCACCAGCCATTCTCCTCCTCGATCACCCAAGGCTGCTCTTTTGTACACTGAGCTAAAAGACACTGGGAAAAACAGGAGATCACTGTTTCTCACAACTTTCTTACAAGCTGCTCAGAGCCTTTGGGGTGGAATCGCGCATCACAACTGTAAACCACAGGGTTCAAGTCAGCTTAGAAAAATGTAATTCTGTCTGGGGTTGTCCTGCTACGTTGTGGGACCAGGATTCAGCTCAGTCAAACCCTGCTGGTCTCACTGATTCCTCTTTGAAACATGGAAGGACTCTCAGGGGGAAAGCGAAGATGTCTGTGATCATCTCTTGTGTGAAACCATCATTAAGACTAGCTGTGGTTAATAAGTCAACTTCAAAGAATCACAGCATCACTGAGTTGGGAGGGGCCACACAGGCCATCTAGTCCAGCCCCCTGCTCAGTGCAGGATCAGCCTGAAGCATCCCTGACAAGGGTTTGTCCAGCCGCTGCTAAAAGACCGCCAGTGAGGGGGAGCTCGCCACCTCCCGAGGCAGCTGACCCCACAGTTGAACGACTCTGACTGTAGAAAAAAGTTTTCCCTAAGATCCAACCAGTATCTTCCCGCCCTTAATTTAAACCCATGCTTGTGAGCAATGTCCCCTCTAAGCTGTGGAGTCCTGTGAGCAAAAATTCTACTTTGTGAGCTACTGGCAATAAAGTTGTGAGCGAGCGATCTGGCTATGGCATAAATTAGTTTGCTCTGGAGCCATCCTTGCTGAGCTAAGACAAAAATGTGTGAGCTGGAGGCTAAAAAACTGTGAGCTAGCTCACACTTACTCAGCTTAGAGGGAACACTGATTGCGAGTCCTCCTGTCCTCTGCTGCCAACAGCTTCCTGCCCTCCTCTTAAGTGACAGCCCTTCAAATACTTCAAGAGAACCATCCTGTCCCCCTCCTCAGCCTCTTCTTCTCCATACTAAACATTCCCAAGTCCCCCAGCCTTTCCTCGCAGGGCTTGGTCTCCAGGCCCCCCATCATCCTCGTCGCTCTCCTCTGCACCCGCTCCAGTCTGTCCTCATCCTTTTTGAAGTATGTCCTGGCCCCACTGCTGGACCTCCTGAGGGCACCTGGTGTTTCTGGCCCCCGTGTGAGACAGAGTGTTGGACTGGACGGGCCATCGGCCGGCTCCAGCATTGGCTTCTCTGATGTTCTTATGAAGTGAGACCTCCAGAACTGCACACAGTACTCCAGGGGCCTCCTGACCAATGCTGTGTACGGCAGGACTATAACATCTCACAATTTGGATGTTATGCCTCTGTTGACACACCCCAAGATCTCTTTAGCCTTTTTTGTCACCGCATCACACTGGCTGCTCATAGTTAACTTTCGGTCCACCCGTACCCCCAAGATCTTGCGTCACCCAGAGGTAGAACTCAGCACTTATCCTTGTTCAGCTGCATCTGGTTCCCATCCACCCATTTCCCCAGCGTGTCTGGATCTCGTTGAATTCCATCTCTATCCGCTGGTGTGTCCGCTGCTCCTCCCAGTTTGGTGTCCTCTGCAAATTTAACGAGTAGCCCCTCCACACCCTCATCCAGGTCGTTTATTAAAACACTGAAAAGTGCCGGGCCCAGAACACAGCCCTGTGGCCCCCCACTGGACACCTCCCTCCATGCAGATCCTTGCTCCAGATCCAAGCTGGATGGACCACGGGGAACCAGTGTTCGCGGCGCAGCCAGCATTCAGACAGCCACCCTGAACACAGTGGGGTGGTTTAAACTAGATCTCCTGCGGTGCCTGAACTGTTCCGGTGTCATGCAACTGGTAACTGTTTCCTTTCACGCTGGGAAGGAATCAGGATCTCACCCCCCCTTTTTTTGCCATGAAGTCATCCCCGTCGGATTTCCAAGGCAAGAGATGAATAGGGGTGATCCGCCGTCCCTTGCCTCCGTTACCAACCCTGGAATTCCTTGGCCGTATTAACCAGGGCTGACTCTGCTTAGCTCCTGAGATCAGGCCCGCCTGGGACCTCCGGGTCAGGGCCGCTCTGAGATCAGGCCCGCCTGGGACCTCCGGGCACAGAACACCCTTCTAGTTAGTCACTCAGCTACAGAAAATATAAGACCTACCCCAAAAATAAGCCCTAGCAGGATTTCTATGCATTTGTGGTATAAGCCCTAGTGTGTCTTCTTGAGAAAAAATAAATATAAGACAGTGTCTTATTTTCGGGGAAACACGGTATATGTTAAAGGGAAGAGGCATGCTCTCTACCGGGAGTGTGCCCTTTATCACTGCGGCAATAAACGCCGTTTTGTCGTCGAGTACATGTATCCACGTGCAAAATCTCGCCAAGTGTCGTCGCTTCCAGAGCACAAAAGGAGGCCCCAGCTGAGGAGCTGTTCCTCCTACGGCCAAAGGAGTCACTTAAATGCTGGGGCACAGAACACCCTTCTAGTTAGTCACCCAGCTACAGAAAACAGTCCCAATGTCTGTGCCAACGCAGTGCCAACAAAACTGAATGAGGACATACAGCTCACAGGAGACCCGACCAAGGAATTGTACCTGCCCATCCTGCTGGGTGTACAGATGAATTCGGCAGTCGTCACCCCCACAGGCCAGGATTGGCACTGAAACAAAACAGTTGTCAATGGTCAGGGGTCTGGTTCAGACACAGGATGGAACTGTACTTTGTCGTCACTGTGACTAGTTTGTGAAGCCAGAATTCGGCTTGCTATAGACGGATCCCTCATCCGGGGTCTGCCTTGACAAGCGCTGCTGCTCTAGTCACCAAGCCTCATGCTAGGGAACGAACCAGCCTCGCTTATTTATTTAAAACGTTTCTGTGCTGCCTCTCCAGGAACCAGCCCAAGGCAGAGTACAAAATAAAAAAAAATAACAACGGAACATTAAAAGATATTGATTAAAACCCGGCATTAAGAACACAGCCCAGCAAAACAAACAAACAAAAAATCACAGTCCATAAAAACAGGCCCCTGACAGTTTCAAATAAGTTTCAAAACTTAAATAATGTTCATAGATCAACCCCTTGATTAAAAGCCTCGGGGGACGGGGAACATTTTGGCCTGGTGCCTATAAGGAAGCAGTGCGGGTGGCAGGCAAGCTGCCAAGGTGAGGCATTCCACAAGTGAGGGGCCCCTGCTGACAAAGGCTGTCCTCTGTG